ACCGGTATATAATGATATGCAGCAGCTCTGACCTTATGGCTCACCTTTTGAATAACTGGCCCAGTAACATCAAATCAAATCTACCCATGCTTTATCACAATAAGAGACTAACATACACAGTGAACAGTGTGGAAAATTAGACAGTCCATTGCTTTGTGGTGAATGACCCATAATAAAGGGACTGACTTGAACATGCACAAACGTGTATACACTGTTCCCAGCCACTTTTCTATGGGAACTGAAAGAGGGTTCCCAGTAGCTAAATAAATATGTGCAATCCATGGAAGGTGCACCTGAAAAGAGAGATGCATATGTATTCTCCATGACTACAGGGACAGGGACAGGGATTAGTCCACAAAGGTCAACAGGTCCAGACCTGGAAGCAACCACTTACTTCCATGTGACATTCCTCTTCTGTTTCCTGGGAACAATGATATTTGTCCCTGGGAAAAAAGGTTTCCATGGGAGCAACTGTACTCATCTTGTGTGATTCCAGGAATTAACTAGACTGATATATGGTCATGAAAACCTTAGCTCAGTGTCTATTCCACTGAAGTTTTACAGAAGTTTCTGAAGTTTTACAGAAATCAGTATACTCAACATGCCCATGTGGCATATAAACTCTTTTCTGTTCCTAGTTTCATATAATGATACTCACATTTGTGATCTGGAATACAGGGTTCTTTGTGAATGTAAAGGAACATTACATGAACTGTTTACTTCCATGTATGGGAATCGCCCATCCTGCAGGCCGCACAGGGCCCACAAGGTCATATGGTCTGACCTGATGGTACCTGATGGAACAGCACATGTGCTTGCGGCTTTCCTGGCCTATCCGCCTGTACTGCATGGCTCACGGAATGAAGTTATAAATATCCAAATGGCCCTTGGCAGAAAGGTTTCTTGCCCCTGGAACTTTCTGGAAATGCACATGTGCTCTGTCTCTACAGCTGTAGAAGTTTAGTGCTGAATGACTTGGCCATGCACAAATGTTCTGCTCTGAGGTGCCTGGATTCCCAGTTCCCAGCTAATGCCCCCTCTGCCTCAGAGCAGAGTTGGTCTGTCTTTAACTTTTCACCCCTTTCCTGAAATTTGCACTTGTGCTCTCTCTCTTTCTCTCTCTCTGTCTCTCTCTGTCTCTTTCTGTCTCTGTCTCTGCCTGCCTGTCTGCCTGTCTGTCTGTCTGTCTGTCTCTCTCCCTCTCTCTCTCTCTCTCTCTCTCTCACACACACACACACACACACACACACACACACCTGTTTGGATAACATTCTCTCTTTTCCAGTAAATTCTTTGGAATAAATTTGATTTCTGGGTAACTAGGTTTCTTGAATTCCACTGACCTGAAATTGTCTCCTGCTGCATAAACAAATTCCCTCTTCTAGCTAAAGTCCTTGCCTGGCTTTTCTGGACCTTTCATCCTGGTATTCTACTCCTCCCGAGTCTCAAAGCTCAAGCTTGCTCCTCCAGAATCTTGGTTCAGTCTCTCTCCTCAGCATTTTTTATTTCCCTCCTCTCCAGCCAAGCCCTTGAGAACCCAATTCAGTTCCAGCTACATCACAGCCTCACTGGCTTGTACGTGCTGCTCCAGATGTTCAACTGTAACCAGCTGTGAAAGTGTTTTTCTAGTTTCAGCATCTCTGCCAACTTCCAGTTCTGAACTTCTACCATTACTGGGAAAGAAGCAGTTGAGGTCCTACAACTCCCAGGAACTTCAGGGTGAGTTTCCAAAGAACCTTTATGCCCGTAGGTCTCAGGATCTTTGGATCAAATAATCAACTTCTCACTAGACAACACCTGGGCACTGTGAGAAGCAACTCAGGCTTCATTCATTCAAAATACCAGAGGACTTTGTGGTCTGTGAGCCAACCCCCACTCCTGATTTAAGCATGAAGGAGAATTTCCAAAAACAAAAATAAGGATCCTGGGGTTGGAGTGATAGCACAGCGGGTAGGGCATTTGCCTTGCACACGGCCGACCCGGGTTTGATTCCCAGCATCCCAAATGGTCCTCTGAGCACCACCAGGAGTAATTCCTGAGTGCATGAGCCAGGAGTAACCCCTGTGCATTGCCAGGTGTGACCCAAAAAGAAAAAAAAATCAGGATTCTGAAGGGCTGGTGGTGCATATGCTCTACATGTGAAAAGTCTCTACCTCCATCCCTATAATTATATGGTCCCCTGAGCACTAAGCTAGAAGTAGCCCTCAGGCACTTCCAGGTAGGTATGGCCCAAAACCTAAAATAAATATATATAGAACTAAAAAGAATATTCCTCTATTTGACTTCATTCATTCACTAACCTTAAGGTAAGGTAAAGGCCCTCCCGTTGATCGTCGATTTGCTCGAGCGGGCCCAGTAACGTCTCCATTGGAGACTTTGTTGTTACTGTGTCTGGCATATCGAATACTCTCGGTAGCTTGCCAGGCTCTCCGAGAGGGGCGGAGGAATCGAACTCGGGTCGGCCATGTTGGCCGCTTGTAAGGCGAACACCCTACCGCTGTGCTATCGCTCACTAATCTTAAAATTGAGAATATTTAGTAGTTGAAAGATTAAGTCTGGGATCCAAACAATAGTACAGTGGGTGAGGCATTTACCTTGCATGCATTCAACTTAGGTTTGATTCCTGGCACCTCATATGGTCTCCTGAGCCCTGTCAGGAATGATCCCTGAGCACAGAACCAGGAATAAGCCCTGGCACCACTGGGAGTTGCCCTACCCTCCCTACGAAAAAAAAAAAAAAACTAAAGAAAAATAAGACAAACCACTCCTTTGCAATTTCAAAAGAAACAGAATGAAAAGAGCACAGGCTGAATAAACTACTTATTAATTTCAAGATTTTAACTTGACAATCTAAAACTGTCTTTTAAATTTTATACAATGTTAAACTTAAAAATGCAAAAAAATTACTTCAATTGTTTATAGGGTGATTACTACTCAAGAGAAATAACCCATGTCACATAATTTGGTTTCATTTAATAACACAACAGAACATCTATTGTCCTTTTGGTGGGGGTGGTAAGATACACCCTGTGGTACTCAGGGGCTACTCCTGGTTCAGTGTTCAGGGGTCAGTCTGAACTGGCATATGTCATATCCCTGGCATACGGGGTGCCAGGGGTTGAACGAGGGTCAGCTGTATTTAAGTAAATCACCTTATCCCCTATACTATCTCTTTAACCCCACATCTGTCATTTTTTATAGCAGTTTTTTTTTTGTCTTCCCCCCTGGCTGGAAAAAATACATTCCAAACACCTTTCATTAACCTGGTGGTCTGGATATAATTTGTTCCCTGAGCCAGCAGAGAATCTGACCTGTTTCACTGAATTTTGGTCAAGTTAAAGAGTTATCACCTGATTGCACTAAAATATTTCTGGGGGAAATTATTAAATAAGTTATCTTACTAAAGAAAAAATGATAATTTCCTCTGAATAGTCATAAGTAGTAACACAACAAACCATAAAATGAAATTCTTGGGTAAAATTATGTATTTAATCATCATTTTAATCATAAAGAAGTTCAACCAGTTGTGCTGAACACACAGTTTGTTGTTGCACTACACACAGTGTCAAACTCTTGGTTGCTTTCCTTTGGCTACCGGCTGTAAACTCTGGTCACAACTTACTGGCTAGAGACCCAGGCAATACTGTCTCCCCCAGAAAATTCTTCCAAAATGACAGATTCAATTTCAGCCTCTGACCTGTTATTCATCACAAAGTGGGAATCTTTGGGACTAGAGTGCTAGTACAGCAGGTAGAACGCTTTTTTTGCATGCAACTCACCCTCTGCACCCCATGTGGTCCCAGGAGCCCTCCGGGAATGATCCCTGAATGCAGAGCCAGGAGTGAACCCTGAGCACTGCGGGGTGTGACCCAACACCCATCTACCATACCTCCCACCCCCCACATACACCAAATGAAAGAAAAAGAAGAAAAAAGGAATCTTAGGATGCTGTGGATCTAACAGCATGATCTGTTTCCTGTTAACAGCTCCCACAGCGGTGCATGTGGGGGTGATGCGAGGACCACTTCCAGTTTTCAAGCCGCAGGCCCATCTGCTGCCTCTGGAACAAGGTTTCCGGGGGTCTCAGTGTCAGTTTGTCCTCAGCTGTGCCAAAGACAGATCCGCCTACTGGCTATTCTTCTCTAGAATGGCCACTGTGCTCTAGGACAAACAGCGTATTCTTAGGGGAACAATTATTATGTGTGTTCTGCGCAGTCATTGATTCAGCGGTGCATCCTCTGAGAGCAACACTGACCTGCTGGGTGACAACTGAACAGCGTGTGGAGTGGAGGGGTGAATGGAATTTGTCCCTGACTGCATTGCTTCCACTTTGTTGTTTTAAAGGATGAAATCGTTGTAAGCAAAATAGGTGCTTAATTCTTCCCATTTGTCCTTAAGTTCCACTCTCTCCGGACCTATTATAGTGGAGGTATCCCGACCTCTCCTCCACCCCATTTAACTTGGGGGTGAGGGGAGACACACACTTATAAGAATTAATCCTGGGGAAGTTTATTTTAGCAACTCCAACGCAGTGGAGCCAAACTAGCTTGTGTGAGAAGTGAGAAGGCTTTGCTGGAGGAGACCTTTTAGTCAGCTAATCCTTCCTGTAAACGTTTCTAGCAGTATACATTTTGGAATCCGCTATGTGCCCCAGAAGACACAATATGGATCTAATTAGGTCCAGCTGCCTTATGTTAGTAATAACTTTGCGAAGGAGAGAGAGAGAGAGAGAGAGAGAGAGAGAGAGAGAGAGAGAGAGAGAGAGAGACAGAGACAGAGACAGAGAAGCGGGGGTAGGGGCTTGCTTGGTCCCACTGACTGGCAGGATGTGCGCATCGCCCAGGCCAGCTCAGAGCAACTCGCGCCCGACCCCGCTCCGCGCCGGGGCTTGGCAGTGGCCGAGGTTTCAGGGGCCCCAGAGACTCACCGTCTCGCCCACCCCAGCCCATCCAACCCAGGGCCCCGCGTCCCCCACCCCGCTCCTCGGCTCCCCAACTTACACCAGCGCCGACGGACAGGGCATCTGACTCCAGGGACAGTTGTACTGCGCCTGAATGAAGCTCTCGCTGCCCTCCCGCACCGAGCAGCTCACGTTCCTGGGCACGATGTAGGCGCACCAGTTCCTGCGGGACGAGGGCACCGGGTTGGCGCGGGGTGAAGCTCCCCACGACCCGACCCAGCAGACATCCCCTGGACGCGGGGGCGCCCGGGACGAGATTTTCCAGGGCGCTCCGGCCGGAGGGACGTTCCCCGCACGCCCGCGGCCCCCGAAGCCGCGAGTACCCCGCTTCCCGGCCGGAATGGGACCCCGGACGCGGGTGGGGTGTGGGCAGAGTCGCGCGATCCTGCCCGGTAAAGGGGGTGACGCAGAGGCCGCCCAAGAGCCCCCCACTCCCGGGGAGCCGGCGACCGGCCACTGACCTGCTCCTGGCGCTGGGGCGCGCGGGGGACCGGGGCTGCGGACCGGCGTGGCACAGCCCCGCGCCGCCCAGGGCCAGCAGTGCCAGTGCCCAGCGCCAGGGCGTGCGGGGCCGCGAGCGCGTCCCCTGCCTCATGGTCCGCGCGACGTGCGGCCTCGCGGGCTGCGGGCGGGCAGGCAGGGCGCGGCCGGCGGGCGGGCGGGTGGGCGGGAGGCGCGGCGCTGGGGCCCCCCCGGCCGGCTCGGCCGCGGCCACTTCTCCTTTCCAGCCCGTGCGCCCGCGCCTCGCCCGGGTCCCTCGATGACGCACGGGTCCCCCCGGGCCCGCCCTCTCTATTTCACTTCCCTCTCCGAAGAAACGCGACCCTCGGCCGCCGCGTGGCCCCGGCTCGGGTTCCCGGGAGCGCCGCGGGGGGGTTGGGGGGCCGGGGTCTCGGGGCAGGATCTGTTTTCCACTGTGTCCCAGGACGGGGTCCTTTGGTCTGGTCCCTGGAGGGCAGCGATTCTGCCGCCCCCACCGTCCAGCGGGCGCGCCGGCGCCGTCGGCGGGTCTGGCCTGGGTGCCGGTCCCCCGTGGGGAGCCAGGGGCGTCCTTCCCCGGCCCCGGGAGCGATAAGGGGGCGCGCCTTGGCTTTCTTCCCCAGTCAGGCCGTGGCCATCGCTCCACTTTTGTTGGACTGAGCCAAGTTTAAGGGGAAGTAAGTGAACGCCTTTACCCATCTTTGCTTTCTGCGTCCTTCGAACAGGGGCATAGGAGAAGCGACAGTCCCACCACTTCCCTACAGCTGCCGAAGTACAATAGCAGCCTCCAAGATCCCCCTCGCACTGATTGGGGGAAGATAATCGATTGCTTTTGCACCGGAGGTCCTATTCTGAATACTTTTTCGTTTGTTTCTTGGTGTTTTGCTTTTGGGTCCACATCCGGTGATGTTCAGAGGTTACTCCTGGTTCTGCGCTCAGGAATCACTCCTGGCTGGCTCAGATCATCCCACGTGTTGCCGGGAATCGAACCTGAATCATCTTCGTGCACGGCAAGCGCCTTCCCTGCTGTACTATCTCTTAAGCCCCTGGAATGGTCCTTTTAATTTTTTTTAATATTAATATTAAAAAACATGTATCTGCTCTTAATATTTTAAAACGGCTACAAGTGTCTTTTTCAATTGTGCAGTTGCTGGGGGCGGGGGGTTATTTGTGAGGGGAAGGGCCCTTTCAAATCGTCCTGGATGTGTGTGGGAATTGTCACGTGGCCTACATCCCATGGTTTTCAGGAGACCTTGAGACAGAACCACGCTGGGGAATTAACTACATCCTGAGTGAGGGACTCCCTGCTCCAGTCGTTTAAGTTCTCTCTCCCACTCTTCTTCTTCCTATTCTTGAGCTATACTAATAATTTCTACTAATTTCTTCAGTGGGTAAAGAAATTGCACAAAACAAAGTAACACCCCCAGCAGAGTTGGCGTTGGAGAGACTTTCCTCCCACTGGGCTTGATGTGATATATATCAGATCTCTACAGTGAGGTCATTTGCAGATTGCATAGATAAGCCACAAAATCCAGAGCTGATCTCTGCAGCATCTGTGAGCTAACTGGATGCTGTTGGCTGTTGTTATGTAGAATAGAATGCTATGTTTTCTATTCTACTATTTTCTATTCATCAGTTCATTTTATTACTAATAAACTTTGATGATGTTGTCAAGTCTTTGGGCTTGCAAATAAAGGAAAGAAACTTATCTCAGTAAAAACTTCTTCATGGGGGGGGGAGGGGAGGATAAGCAGAAAATTATGATGCCATGTAAGGACATAGTCCATAAACTCTCTAAATGGAAGATCGTGCAAATAATGGGTTGAAGTCATCCTGAGCCTTCAAAAGAATCACCCTGAAGGGAAAATAATAGAAAGGGATGAGAGGCAAAACTGGTTCTGTAAAACCTAGTCTGTATCTTTTCTATGTGGCTTCGCTGTCTTCCTCATCTTAAGCCCAACTGGGGCAGGAGGTTAGAAGAAAGAAAGAACACATAAATGGAGAGTGACAGAAGAAAAAAGTGGGAAACACCCAAATTATGTATGTCTATAACTAACATCAGTCACAACTTTCCAATACAAGTAATTCTCAAATTTGAGCATTCAGGGACGGGAGAGACAGTACAGCTTTGGTAAGGTGCTTGCCATGGCACTGCATATCCCCCCGCCCAAAACCCACCAGGAGTGTTCCCTGAACCCAAACCAAGAGTAAGCCCCAAACATCCCTAGATGTGGCCCAAAGACAACAACAACAAAATTTTTTTGATCATTGATTAAACTGATCAAATAAAATCTTTCCCCCTTTGAATCAAAGTTATCCTAAGAAGCTGTACGTTCGTCCAAGAATTCAAAGTCTACCTTTTCATTAAGACCATGAAAGACTATATATTTAACCAGCTATCAGTAGCATCCATCAGTAAATAGTTTAAATCTGAGCATCTGTTGCATGTTTTTAATTATTACTTGTGATGCCAGGGATAAATTCCAGGACCTCACACACACAAGGCATTACTGCCAAGCTACACCCCCACCCCCTATCTGCTACATGTTTGTGCTGTGCAAAGATACTGAAGACTCACAAATGAGTTAGAGCTACCATGGGTTCTGTGTACACAGAGCTTGGGAGTGCGAAGTCTCTTGTGCACAGTCAGTTCAGTTAGACAATATTTGCCACATGTGCTTCTCTGGACAAATACCTGTGTGTGCCTGGCATGAGCTGCCCTGGACAATACAAGAAGACTCATGGTTCTCAGGAAGGCTGAAGAACAAGATCCAAGAGACCTTGTAATTTTCTCTTCTCTATCCAGAGGAACAGAACCAGCAAACTCAGGAAACAGGGAGCCCTCCAGAAAGCAGAGGGAAGCCTCCTGAAGGTCAAAAGTTTCTTAGGAAACAGACTGAGGGGGCAGGCCATCTGATCCTAGCCACAAACAGTAATGTGGACATAACTGAGAGAGGAGATCAATTATGAATACTCTGTAATTCTCCAGTTGCCTAAACAAGCATACGAAAATTATCATTTTTAATGTTTTTGCTACTCTTTCTATATTTAATCTGATTTAAACTCATGGAATATGAGCTTGATGGTACATTCTGAACTCTGTTCTGTCTGTATAGACTAAAGCAAAAAAAGCACAGTAAAAAACAAAGGGTCAAATAAAAGAGAAAGCCATAAGTTTCCTATAAGTAAAGAAATTCCTTCTAATTTGAAAATGAAAGTGGTAATGGAACTTCCACACTTGAACATGTGACCAACTTACCTAATGTAAAAATACAAATTTTCCTTAATAAAAATTTATTAGCTTATTCTTGGAGAGCCCAGCAAGCTACCTAGAGTATCTTGCCTGAATGGCAGAGACTGGCAAGCTCCCTGTGGTGTATTTGATATGCCAAAAACAGTAACAATAGCGGGCATCATTCCCTTGACCCTGAAAGAGCCCCCAAAATGCCATTGGGCAATGCTAGCATGTGACAGGGACGAATGGAGATGTTACTGGTGCCCACTCGAGCAAATCGATGAACAACGGGATGATAAGTGATACAAGTGATCTTGGTCCTTATAGAAGATGCTCATCAGGCTCTGGTGTGAGAACCCTGCTTGTGAAGCAGAGAACCTGCTCACCCCCCATTGAGCCCTGATGCCCTCCACTTCAGTTACCCAGTGGAGAAGGGTGAGTGATCACTACAGAGAAAGCAGAAGAACACTTTCCACCTAAAGTCCTGTTTAGTCATCTGGGCACGAGACACTGGATCAAGATGTGCATCGAGGATGTGTTCAAGCATCAGAAGAACAGCTGATTTCAAATATTGAAAAACAATTGCCTCCAACTTTCTACATGTACTTCTGCTTGCTTTTGGTGTGTGGTTTCTCTGGGCAGTGCCAGAAACCATGCAGGGTTGGGTGTCAAACTCTGAGAAGCCTCTGTGCAAGACAGGTGTTCTAGCCCTGTGCCATCTCCCTGATCCTCTATGTGTGCCTTTAGGTGTCTTTACAAACTCATTTCATTATTTACTTAGTGGTGAAAAAAGAAAGTTCTTGAAGACTTGGTATCTTCAAAATATTTTTATTGAAGCTTGTTCTTCAAGCCCATGTTCTTCCTTGAACATGGATCTCACTTGCTTGTTTTTTTCTTTGGGTGCCTTTTTCCATGGTAGAAAAGCCTGTGTTCTCTCTCAAACATGGATCCTCCCTTTCTCTCCTCTTACATTGTTCTAAATAAGTTTCAATAAAAACTTTATTGCTTCACCCTCCAAAAAACCCAAAGCATTTATTTTATTGCAGTTATTTCTCTCTTCTCTCCCTCCCTCCCTCCCTCCCTCCCTCCCTCCCTCCCTCCCTTCCTTCCTTCCTTCCTTCCTTCCTTCCTCCCTCCCTCCCTCCCTCCCTTTCTCTTTCCCTCCCTGTCTCCCTCTTTCTCTTCCTCTTTCTTTCTTTCTTTCTTTCTTTCTTTCTTTCTTTCTTTCTTTCTTTCTTTCTTTCTTTCTTTCTTCTTTCTCTCTCTATCTCTCTCTCTCTCTCTCTTTGCTTTTTCGGTCACACCCAGCAATGCACAGGAGTTACAACTGGCTCATGCACTCAGGAATTACTCCTGGTGGTGCTCAGGGGACCATATGGGATGCTGGGAATCAAACCTGGGTCGGCCGTGTGCAAGGCAAATGCCCTACCCGCTGTACTATTGCTCCAGCCCCATCTTTCTTTGTCAAGTTTCTTTCTTTCTTTCTTTCTTTCTTTCTTTCTTTCTTTCTTTCTTTCTTTCTTTCTTTCTCTTTCCTTCTTTCTTTTGTTCTTCCTTTTTTTCTTCCTTCCTTTCTTCCTTTCTTTCATAACTTTGTTGTGAGACATCTTCCATTAATTTTTTAAAGTATAAATTGATAGAGGAAGAGAGAAAAAATGTCTCTTAGAAAAATTAACTGACTGCACCATCTACCTTGGTCCTATTTTGAAATACCAATTTGGTTGATATCATTTTGTTTAGAGCTGTCTGACTTAGGCATTGCATGAAACATGCACCTACACAATAACAAATTCAAAGAGTCCCAAACTTCAGTATTGTCAAGCAACATCTATTTTCCTGTCTTGTCAATTATTCTGCTCAAATACGTCAAAACTAAAACAACAACAACAACAACAACAAAAATAAACC